GATCAAGTGATCAAAAATAATCGCTCCCGATAAAAATAAGTTGGATTTTACTTACATTTCATATCAAAAAAAAAAAAGTTAAATTTGTTGAGGAATTGTTGCTATAACTGGTGTATAACATGGCCAAGTAAGTTATGTCACGTCGTAACTTTGATGATCGTTTTGAAGCTTTATTTGTTCGCTCATTACTGTAATTGTAAACGTTTTAGAAGTTGATGGTACGAATAATAAATTACAACAATACGTCAATTAATTACGTGATCGATTTTTTGAAGGAGAATGTTTTTGGAGTGAATAAAATTATGAGATTCGTGAACATAAATCTGGCTTAACGTTTTGAATGCGTTTCCTTCAACGTTTTACAAAACAATTAAATTGCAACAATAATTTATTTGTGTTTGTTTTTAGTCTGCAGCATTTGTATTTCGAGAATGTTTCAAACTCTTCTAAATTGTGAAACATAATGTGTTGATTCCATTAAAAAAAATATTTGCCCTGTGACTGAGCTCACTAATATTCATAATTGTAAATAAGTTCTGTTAATCAATGAAGGAAAGATATGTAAATGATATGCAAATTATATGCAAATTAGCCCCGGCGCTATGCATGTTTTCTGGGGAGAACCCTGAATAGTGCTTCTCGTTACCTATTCTCAGATGTCCACAAGCTTGTTTTCTTATGTGTATCTTCCCTTCCAGAATCTCTTTAAAAATTCACCTCTCCTCCAGAATAAACATAACTTTCTTATCACGAATGTAGATATACATCTAGAGTTAGAAGACAGACTAGCCAAGTATATGAAGACTGAGGAAGCTATTTTATATGCTTATGGATTTTCCACCATAGCTAGTGCTATACCTGCATACTCTAAACGTGGTGATGTCATATTTTGGTATGTATGTACCGTAGTTCATATAATTGCATGCTACTTATATTGGAGGTACAGTACTGGCTATAACCACTTCTCGGATGCATCAATTATAAGGATGCAGCAGTATATCATGATATGTATTGAATTCAGCCCAAATTGTTTTATCATAAAAATTATGAGTACTTTTGGGGCAAAGTCACCATAAGCAATAACAAAAAAGTTGAATTTTGCCCCAAAAAATACCTGTAATTCTGATAAGTTTGCCTGAATTCTCTAAAAGGGCTATTGAAAATATGTGAACTATAAGATAAGATAAGATAATTCTTTATTACAACCTTATAGAATGAATTACATATCTATTTTGGTTTATAAAATGTAATAAAGGTGTTATCTTAGAACAGCTAGAACGTGAACATTTACATTGTGTTAGACTGTACAATCATCTGTTTATATTAATATACTGGTTTCTGTCTTTGAATTACAGCGATGCTGGTGTTTGTTTTTCCATTCAGATGGGTGTGTTGGCATCCAGGAGCAATGTGAAATTCTTCAAACATAATGACATGGAAGATTTGGAAAGATTACTGATGGAACAAGCAGAGGAAGATAAAAGGGTTTGTCTATTTTGAAGATTATTTTCTAGAACATTAATTTGTGGTAGAGAATTGAAACTAGTGAACTCTATGAACCCTGGAAATGCATGCTTGGTCAAAGAAACTCTTTTTCACAATGTGTTTATCAGTCGGGCCACCATTGTAAAATTGTTGGAAAGTTGTCACTGATATATTGTTGAAGACTTTGGTTTAGTTGGAATATAGTTCAGACATTTTGTTATGCATGGTAAGCTCTTGGTAAACGCACACACAAAGATGGATGCCTGTTGTGTCGCTTTACAGATGATTCTTCTGACTCGTTGCTTTATCAATTTAATGATTAGAGCACTTGACAGCATCCAAGGGATATAAAGACTTGATGTGTATGTGTGTGGACATCAAAATCATTTTATTTTATCCTGATATGTTCTCTTTTTGAATTTTCTTGAAAAATTCATTTACCTGCTTATTTATACCATCCCACTACCGACACCCCACCACCCCACCCAACACCCCACCACTGCCACCCAACACCCCACCACTGCCACCCAACACCCCACCACTGCCACCCAACACCCCACCACCACCACCCAACATACCACCACTGCCACCCAACACCCTACCACCACCATACAGCCACCACCCAACACTCCACCACCGCCACCCAACATCCCACCGCCACCCAACACCCGAACTGATTTCAGACACAATCAAATATATGAACATAGTTGTGCTCGTACAAATAGCTCTCAAAATGATTCTTGACTTGAAGTCCTGTAATAAATTATTAAATTGGCAATGTATGTGCCATATTTATTTTAAATTATATTATTATACAGTATACATTTATCAGTATTTTGACAACGTTGTGATTATTCAATTGATCTCTTGTGCTTGTCAATGAAATTTTTATTCAGGCCTGAAATATGATTAGCCAATTATAAATACTAAATCATTGACTTTTGAAAAGTTAAATAGAAAGAAAAACATAATTATCAGCATTATTATATACTGACCTTTGTAGATAAAAAATATAGGATCATATTCAGAACCTCTAACCCTAACCCTAACCCTAACCCTAACCCCAACCCTAACCCTAACCAGTTATTTGACTTTTGTCTACACTTGTTTGAATCTGTGTATATACAGGTATGATTCAGAAATTCTCACTTCTCATCTTCAAATATATTGGCATTTATTGGCCACATTTCTCACGAATGTTTTTATGTTTTTCTGCGTTTTGTAATTGTTAACGCTTTATATCATATGTCCTTGCATGATATGTTGACTTCAGTAATGACGTGATTTCCACTCTTCTTTTATATCATATTTTATTATCATGTTCATTTCAGAATCCCAAGAAAGCTAAAGTAACAAGACGATTTCTGGTAATTGAAGGACTGTACATAAACTATGGGGATATTGCTCCATTGAAAAAAATGGTAAGTCAGACCACCTGTGAACTTTATTGCTGACAGGCTGTAAAACCTATACATCTTTTACTTCAACCAGTTGTTTATTTGTGACATGGCCCGGGCATGGCATTTCTTTTTATCTGTACAATTACAGTGTCAGCCTTACTATATTATTGTAGAGGTAGATCAGCTCTATTTGCTGAATATTGTTTGAACTTTGCCAAATTTTAGTCTGCGCTTAACTTTTTCTGGAAATTAAGACAGTGAAAGGTGACTGTAACTAAATGTGGGATGGTACATAAGATGGTGGAAATTCTGGGGTTAGTCCGTAAAAGTGAATCATGGGATTACTAGTCTTGTATAATGTCTCCACACACTGTTAATCTTACCAGTGGTTATGAATCTGTCTTGGCTTCTCTCTACTGTTCTGAAGAGAAGCACAGTTATTTCTGTGAAATAGTCAACGGATTTCCATCATAAATAATTATAAAAAAGTAGAGATACACAATTAGAGGGTGTGGTCCAAACACAAAGTAATCATCGTTTTCCCGCCAGATGTGCTTGCATTTTGTTCTAAATTTGCTACTAAATCATAAATCAGGTCCACTCCCATCTAAAAACAAAAGCTTGTGTATCAAATTTCAGCCTCTATAGTTATGTGTATCAACTTTCCTATTGCTAGAAATTTCTGTTATTTCATCACGTGATCAATGATCAAGTTTTATTCAGTAGTCGAATGAATAATATTAAAACTACAGGTGATTTTTGTTTTCATTTCTCAGATTGAATTGAAGTACAAATATAAGGTGCGGATATTTTTAGACGAGACCATATCTTTTGGTGTGCTAGGTGCACATGGTAAGGGTATTACAGAGTACTTTGATATCCCAGTAAGTACATCAATGCATTATCTTTACTATATATATATATATATATATATATAATCTATTAATGTACACACTGTGTTGACCCAGTGGAGAATTGTCGACCTAATAAAAAAAAAAAAACTTTCATCATATTTTCATCGCCTGCTGGTAATCATCATTCTCAAATAAATCTATTGAGGGCGCCTGTTTATCACCGTTATCCTTAATTCCCTCTATTCAGCTGCTTGACTTAATTTTTAAAGTAGCAGTGCTTAACTGTTATTGTACTTCTGCACCATTTTGTCCTTGTGTACTTCCTGCACATTACATGCTGTTTGCAGTTCAAAAACATTGCTCATTGACGTACATGTAACTATAGTAACGGTACTTTATTGTCGCAAAAACATTATTCTTTGAATTTATTTGCCTCTCTGTAAACTCACAACTGACTTTTAGCAGATCTCTCTACACATATTCAGTTATGTCACTTGAAATTTATACAATACAATTTTCATTCTAGATTGAAGAGGTTGATATGATATCTTCATCCATGGAGAATTCCTTGGCCAGTATTGGTGGATTTTGTTGTGGTACTACGTTTGTCATTGATCACCAGGTAACAAGTTTCTGCATGGTGTAAATATCTGCATATTAATTAAATAATTTGCAGTTTTGTAAAACAAGTGAACTAGAAATGAAATAAAATAAAATCTAGCACAGCTATTTACTGTATTTATTTCTTGCCCAAATTATTTTTCATTTCTTATATTCTGCAATATTTCTTTCTGAAAATGAACCCTATTTTTTAGCAGACAAAATTTGAATCAATTTTTACTCAAAGTTTAGCTTTTTTGTCCAAATCTTTGAAGGAAAGTGCAGACCATAAACAGGACTACCAGTATTTTGCGATGAAAAGAAGTAACTTGTGGTGGAAAACTGCTTAACAAGTGGGCTTCCTCTCAGATCCAGTATTTTTGTTAGGGTTTATCAGCTGTGCGTGTGTCCGTATTTGCATGCATTCATGCCAGGACCAATCATATTCTATCTTCACATATACATCCTGCATCTTTGAATATATTTACATGTCTATTTATTTCACAATCCGATTCAAGGTGGCCCAATAGAGCTCACTATCAAGCATTTCTGTTCCTGATCCAATCTCTGCAATGTAGGAACTGATTTCATTCAAACCTAGTAGATAAATTAGACATTATGGGACCATGACACAAGACAAAATGGCAGCCAGTTAAATGTTTAAAATTCATCAAAATTAAGCATTTCTGCAATTCAGTCCCTGCATCTCAATCATATACCGGTATAGACAGATATCATTCAGACTCAGTACTTACCATATTTTCCCCAGTCATAAATCTAGGGGCCTTAACATATAGAATCAGGAAAACATCTCTTTTGGTTTAACATTGTAACCATGTTGCCATCCTCGAAAATTTATCCAAATTACATTTTTGTTCACCATGCAGTGGTCGGGAACACAGTCAGCTGGGGCACGCGTGATAATAAAATAAATACAATATTTACTATATGGGGGCCGCCATCTCGAAGGTGGCATAAAATTAAATAAAGAGACAAGTTGTGAAACATGTTTTTCAGATTCATATAAATCAGGACAAAAATACCAATCATTCACAGCCAAACAATCCATTGGGATAACAAAATTTGGCCAAATGCGTTGTTCTGGTGTGGAAAAATCTCTTGCGTACGAATACCTAATTACACAAAGAGAAACAAAATATTATGATTTGCATTGTCATTGATTTCCACAAAAACTTAACCAATGAAGAAAAAAATATGCACATTCTATTACAATACTGTTTATGGTGGGAAAAGTTGAGGCAACATCTTCATCATTATTTTAGTTGTGGAATCTTTGATCGTACGCAAACTCTTGATGCATGATGTTTTTCTGCATGATTCTCCTGAAACAATGTCCTCTGACCTAACATTTCAATTCTGTCATTAACCAATCAAAATACTGTGTTGTACTGATGAAATTTTCCAGAATCTGTAAGTTCTGTTAACACTGATTTTAACAAAAAAAACAGCGATTTTTTTTTTTCTTCTAAAAACTGTTGATTAAAAATGTTTACGTAGTCAACAAGTCATGTTGAAGCATAGTTCACTCGTTCACACCAATTCACAATAGTCTTAAAGGATACTGTGATTATTCGGAATAGTAAAACTATGTCCAATGACCAGGTTTCATGATTTGATGTCACATTTTTTGGCATTTTGAAAGCTACCACTGCAAAAAGATATGGATTACTTCAGTATTGAAACCTTTGGTTTATGGCAAATACTAACAGAAGAGAAAGAGTGTAAACCATGCTGCATTGTGAGTTTTCTCTTTAGCCAAACAGCCCTTGTCAGTGCCACCACACACTTCATCTAAAAAGAGAACTACTGTTAGTACCATTTACGATTATTATGAAATAAAACAAGTAATTTACATATATTTCAATAAATGTTACCCCATCTTCGACGCCCGGTAAAAATACCTGTGGCTAATAACCAGGAATGCCCTCAACTTGTTAAATGTCTAAAAATAGAGGGATGCCACACCATTTGGTTTTTCAGATGAAATACAATTTTGCAACTGGTGAACATTTTGTATAAATGAATGCTGCTACCAAGTCATTATATCTATATGTCTTGCCAGTTTACATTTCAACTTTACATCTTCATATATATGTACAATGCATTATACATTAAACATGCATATTGTTTTAAATTCTGATAAAAAAAAAATGGCAGTTTTGTTTAATAATAATCATGTCATGTCATGTATTCATTTATACATCAAATAGCATTGATTCAGTAAATGTTCGACAGATCTGAGCGACAGAAGCATTGAACTAAACAAGTCAAATATTTAGGTTCTGACTCCTTAGTTAATATTTGTTCTATTTATCCCCATTTACTATATTTCTCATGTTATTCATGTACAGAGATTAGCTGGCCTTGGTTATTGTTTCTCCGCATCGCTGCCACCACTTCTGGCTTCGGCCGCCATTGAATCACTCAATCTGATGGAAGCTAACCCGGAAATGTTTGCGGAACTTATCAGAAAGTGTCACATTGTTCATGATTTGTTATTAAGGTTTGTACACACGTGTATGTCTTTGAGGGTGAACTCAAAAGTTATATATTTTTAATTTTCTTAATATTCTTTGCTCTCCCAAAGCTTTTTATGTACGACAATTCTACTTACTAGGTTTCATGCTTGGACTGAAGGTTTTTGATGTGATTATTTATACTATAGCGTAGTAATAATATGCAAATTAGCCATTATTAAAATGTACAGCCTCGCAAACAGTTTGTTTTTCAAAAATGATTGCTAAAATATTTGAGAGTGCATAAATTTTTAGGTTTCAACATTTCAGCTTTCGATGATAGGGCACTGCAGTAGTGAAGTACTTACATGCTGACTAGAAACATTATTATTTTAACGTAAACCAAAAATTGTATATTTGTGTGCTAGGTCTAAAAGTATTTATTGTAAATTGCGGTGGTCGTCGCGACGCATCCTATTCGATATGGGACTCACAGCGACGTATACAACACGTGTTAAAATACATTGTTTATTTACATGAAATTCGAACGCGCGCTGCGCGACGACCACCGCGCTTTAATCATAGCAGGCATTCTGTTGCCTTAAAATTAGCTCGGGATTTCCTGTCCAAAGTGTCAACTAGTGTTCATGACACATTTTTAATTATTTGCAATATTTTAGATGTAAAATAGTAAATTTAACTGAAAATACTTAGCCCTTTGTCTAAAACGATATTCTGTAAAATCTGTATTAGAAGCTGCGGCTTCTATTAAAATGCTACAATGCTAACAAAGGGGATGCGGCTTCTATTAGAGCATCTACACATATGAGAAATGATGAATTTTATTATATTAGAGATGCGGCTTCTAATACAGATTTTACAGTAGGACATTTTGAAAAAATAACAGCAAATTGCTAATGTCTGGGTGAGCATCTGAATCACTGCATAGTTGAATGTTATCTTATTTTTGTTAATTCATCTTCATCATAGTCTTCCTCATCTTCAAGTTGTTGGTGTACCTGAATCTCCAGTCAAACATATACGATTGATTGAATCCAAGTCAACAAAAGAAGACCAGATAGCATTAGAGTCAATAGTCTCTCAGGTAAGTCATTGTAAAAAATGTTATTTCTGACTTCTTCTTGAAAACTACCAGCTCATTTGCTTTTGATACTTAGTATGTAGGTACTCCAGAGGGGGCTATTTTGACCATCAGGTCATTTGTTATGTAACAAATTGTCGCTATGCATTATGGGATTTGTACTCTTCACTGTACGAATCTCAGTATTTGTACACAACATGGTTTTTGTATGCGTCTTGGAATTTGTATACATTATAGTGTTTGTACGCATCACAATATGCAATTCTGTATGCACCAGATATTTACGCTTATTATTCATGGAGGCCATGCCGGAAATAAGATGCTCCACGTAAATAATTTAAAGGGCAGTGGTCGGCGCACCGCGCATGTGCGACATTTGTGTTGATATAATAAACATGACCTCATTGATACCTACCACTTACAAAAAAAATTAGATACCGGTAGTTAAAGCTTAGTGACTTCTCAGTTTGTACAAAGTTTCCTTTTTTGTTCATACATGTATGAGTCCCATATCTCCCGCATCCGTGGCGCGACAACCCCTGCCCTTTAACAATTTCAGACTTGAAATTGTGTCCCTGTTTGTTAAACACTGGAATTCAAGCCCTAATATTTTTTATTTTTGAAAACTTATATGACAATAAATAACAATTACTGACAATAATGACAACCGAGGATTTCTGCCAAATGCATTTGGATGTCACGGACAATCGTCAAAATCTAGCACACGATTTGTAAGCATAGTTCAGTTCACTCTGAAATGGTGAAGTGATAAAAATCTTATCCCCTAATATCACTTATACATAAAGCCGGTTGATACTCATAATGTGATGCCTGTATATACAAACTAAAGCTAAGGATATCTCTCTTAACCTGAAATCATGTGACAGCCTCATAATATTAATCTTCTTTTACAGGCATTGGATAAGAATGTTGCAATCACGTGTGCTAGGTATTTACCTGAAGAGAAATTCTGCCCACCACCTAGGTAAGTAAATACAGGTGTGAAAATCTACAAGCAACATTTCTTTTCTCTTTATGCTACGGTATTTGGTCTAAATTTACAGTTGACAGGTTTTTAGTCAGCCACCCGTCTTCTAGACAGACGTTCCACATTTTAGACACAGGTATGTCAGTCACTCTCTGCATCCTAACAATATTTAAATTCTTCCTTAACATTCTTTTTTCTCCTTTTGTTTTGACAGTATTCGTATCACTGTGAGCACTGAAATTAGTGATGAAGATTACAAAGTTGCAATTGACGTTATCAAGGAGGCTGCAAACACTGTGCTCACTGAGGTGTCATGATACTTTTGTACCAAACTTTTATTCCAATTTCTCAGCTCAGATTTCAACACTATTGATGTTTTCTTTGTTTATTTGTTTCCTTATTTCACTTTAAATTGATATAATGCAGAACACTGGTAATCTGCTTCCCTGCTTCATCAAAAAGTGACAATGAATAATGTGACACGAGGAAAATGCTGAAAGTATTCATTCATCTTGAGGCACAAAAGACGGTGGTCATTGTACCGTGCATGAGCGAGATACAGTATGTGTTGATGAACAGTGATATTTCCCACAATTCATAGCACACTCCCAGTGGCAAGCACTCAATACTTGATTTGATCCAGTTGCAATGGGCACTGAATACAAATTTTGACTCGTTAGACTTCTTTGATGTATGCAAAACATCTCTTGAAGCACTAGAGAATACAGGAATATGCACCTGCGGTCTTTTCTTTGATGTAATGTTTCCTGGGATTTAAATGAGATTTTGAATTTTCACTGTGCATGATTGCGTTCATATATCCTTGTCAAGTTGCATCACACAGGTATATAATCTTTGAAAATATAAATTATATTTTTCGATGGCAAATTCAGAACAAAAACATGCCCACGCATTATAAACAGTATGACATAAACTAGGAGAATTTAAAAAATTTGTATACCGTGTTTTAGAAAAAGGGGTAAAAAAAAATGGTTTGATGTTAACTTTGCTATACGATGCAAGTAAACGATAATACAATAAATTTATTCTACCAAAAACTAGTCTGTGCCATAATACATGATTAGCAGCACACAAACTACATGTAGTTTGTTGTAAATATATTCGATACAGCGTATTTTAAAAATTAGGTTTCATAAACCTCTTGAAAAAAATCTGATAGGGCTGCCATGGAGCTATTGATTGCACACATAGATACTCACGTAATAAAACATGCACCAAGAGATGTCTTTATATGGAAATTCATTCTATACTCTTTGATGTTTGTTGCAGTTGTCGGTAGCGTACGCGTCTTCTTTGTACACATTCCATTCATCTGCACATAAGGTTAAGTGACCCATATCTCGCACATCCACGGCAAGGCCATCTTTTAAATAAAATTTCATGAAAGATTGTTGAATTACTGTGATTTAAATTAAGAGCAAGTTATAATTAATACATAGCAACTTTCATATAGTCCCACAATTGTAGTCCCTAACTATCAGTAAACTACTAAAGTATACCAGATAAGATATACCGGTAGGGTTATCAAATGATAATCTGCATAAGTGAAAGTGCTCTAATATTTAAATTATGTTCTTAACAATAATAATAACCTGTGTAGTTTTTAGTTTGAGGGTCCTTGTGTAAATTTTATTTTGAGGGGGTTTGCAAATAAAAATTATGCAATTATCATTGTAACAACAAAATTAGAGGGCGGGAGAGGCACAACAATATAGTGCCCTCTATACTCTGTGGAAGCATTGATCTTCATCGTGATTTAATTTTAAAGTATTTCATCAACAACCAGTGAATGAACTTGATCTTCTTTATATGCAAATGATATTTTGATAGGTGTTATATTTTTTCCACTTTTTTTACTATTTGTTTGAAAGAGGTTCTTGCACATTTCATTGTCTATATTTGTTCATTTCATGATTACAAACATAATATTGAGATTAGATGCAGCATGTGCGTTTTCATCATATTTGTATCTCAATAAAAATCGATTGCTTTAAGTGATGACGCTGGTTGTCATGGTTTAAGATGAGTCCCACTCAACAACTTTAATATACTGCACATGTATGTATGCAAATGTTTAATGTACAAAATTCAAGTGCTTGCAGTTGCGACAATCTTCAAAAAGCAACTCTACCGTACTACCTCTAATAAAAATGACCTGTGCCATGAAAATGACAATTTGATGATAAATTTGAAAGTAATGTTGTCTTCACTGTTTTAGACAGATTGTACAAGGCAATAATTGCACAGGTTTTTGAGGTAATGGTGACTTATCCTTTTTCAGTTGACTTATTTTGTTTCTGTCATTGGTAAATCATGCCTCTAATGGGCTTTCACTAACATGGTTTTAGTTCTGGTGTTGAACATTTTTCCTGAGCTATTTATTTTATCCACACACAAATAGGGAGAAGATACATGTATATGCAGTTTTATGTTTTATGTGGTTGATGACATGTTTTCAAATGAATAAATCATGTTTGCAATTAGCTTTGCCTGATACTTGCGAAAGTTGCATCATTTATTGCAATCAAATCTTTGTGTCATTTGACGTTGGTAAAGAGTTAGTGACAATATGTATATCACCCACTACACCCACTGTTTGTACTGCTTTGTTATTTATTCACTGTGGAGCTGAGCTTATTATTCTATTATTTGAAATTGATTTATTTCATCTTACTTTAATCATATACTTTTATACCTTGTTGATTAGCTTTACAATGGGTTGTGGACATGGGGGGGGGGAGTTTAGAAAGGTTTGTGCTTTACAATGCACTGAAGATGTGGTGCTTGCAATCTGTATTGTGTGCTTGTACTTTGATATATTAAACAATTTATTTGAAAAAAGACAATTTCTTGTGGTTGTTTAATACTCAGCATAGGTGCATGTGTGTGTTAGCTTAATATTTCTTGCTATCACCAGGATTTGTGACCTGTATGTCTTCTGCTAGTACCAGGATTTGTGACCTGTATGTCTTCTGCTAGTACCAGGATGTGTGACCTGTATGTCTTCTGCTAGTACCAGGATGTGTGACCTGTATGGCTTCTGCTCATACCAGGATGTGTGACCTGTATGTCTTCTGCTAGTACCAGGATGTGTGTCCTGTATGGCTTCTGCTAGTACCAGGATGTGTGACCTGTATGTCTTCTGCTAGTACCAGGATGTGTGACCTGTATGTCTTCTGCTAGTACCAGGATGTGTGACCTGTATGTCTTCTGCTTGTACCAGGATGTGTGACCTGTATGTCTTCTGCTCGTACCAGGATGTGTGACCTGTATGTCTTCTGCTAGTACCAGGATGTGTGACCTGTATGTCTTCTGCTTGTACCAGGATGTGTGACCTGTATGTCTTCTGCTCGTACCAGGATGTGTGACATGTATGTCTTCTGCTAGTACCAGGATGTGTGACCTGTATGGCTTCTGCTCGTACCAGGATGTGTGACCTGTATGTCTTCTGCTAGTACCAGGATGTGTGACCTGTATGGCTTCTGCTAGTACCAGGATGTGTGACCTGTATGTCTTCTGCTAGTACCAGGATGTGTGACCTGTATGTCTTCTGCTAGTACCAGGATGTGTGACTTGTATGTCGTCTGCTAGTACCAGGATGTGTGACCTGTATGTCTTCTGCTAGTACCAGGATGTGTGACCTATATGGCTTCTGCTAGTACCAGGATGTGTGACCTGTATGGCTTCTGCTAGTACCAGGATGTGTGACCTGTATGGCTTCTGCAAGTACCACGGTGGCGAGGCAAACAACATAATGTAAGAGCTCTACAAATGTAAGGGAATGCAATCAACACGTTTTTATATCACTTTTCATTCTCTAGATATTTAACTTTTAATCAGAATTATGTAGTCCGCCATCTTGTTTCTCCAACAAAGGATTGTGGGTACAGTGTGACATCATATCTACTGTTGTGAAATATTGAGAAAATGCTTTCATCTATAACGTGAGAAATACTGATGCAAATTGGTTCAAATTTTCGGTGTGCATATAACTCATTTGAAATTAGAATGTTACAAATACACAAAAAGTAATGATATTGCCAAAAACGTAAAATAAATAAACATTATTTTGGTTGTTAAAAATAGAATGACACTTTTTTTCATCCTCTTTGTGGTCAACAGCTTATGTATCACCTGTACAACCTACTTGCATCGATAAATTGTATACAATATACAAAAAAAATTGAGCATCTGGTAGAAAAACACAAAAATGAATATTTTCAGTTGTGTTGCCATGACAACTATTTTATATGCATTTTCGACACTGGTACATTGTATGCTAGCATACAATTTCTAGCTAATTTGAAGTTCAACTTTTGAAGTTATAGATGAAATCTTTTTCTCAATTTCTCACAACAGTGGAAGTGATGTCACACTTTACCCATAATCCTTTGCTTTTAGAATCAAGACAGGGCGGTGGTCGTCGCGCAGTACGTGTTCGAATATTTGTTACTTACGTTGTATTGGTCACTATTAATCTCACATCGAACACGACTACCACCTTTAACATTTACAGTGCAGATGACATACAATTTACTTGTTTGTTTGTTTGTTTGTTTATTTCGATAAACAACTGCAGTACAAAAAATAAAAGCAAGTGTTTTTAAATTGATATAACTAATTATATAATAGTTATGTTGACTGTGGTATACTTAACCAAAAGACGAATGTCAGAATTCGTATTATCCCATCTTTCTATTGTGGAGAGGGCTCAGACGAAGACAACCAGGCTAAGAATTTGATGTCCCGGTTACACAATAAAGGGTTTATTATAACTGCTACACAGTTCTACTAATCTACGAAATACGAAGCCACGCATTTATTACATCAATTCTGGCATCTTTGTGGGTTTTACACATAACAGTTTTATTCTACATTCCCCGGTATCAAGAAAGGAAATTGTATTTTAATTTCTCCACAGCCTCATTTCACTCTTGAATATTTGGCAGTCACGTATCCAAGGTAACATCTAAAAATAATTAGTGTGATTTATGGAGTTTAATAAAATATTTAGTTTAAAACAATTCTTAATTAGTGTGAATGCCACTCCTTGTAAACCTCTGCTACATCCTTATATAACAATTGACAAGAAAAAACGAAGTCAACTTGTTTTGTTGGTAGAGGGCGCTCATTGTAAATCGAACCACCTGAAATGCTTTTGAAAATATATTAATTGAAATAACCATTCAACACAGTTCTCAGTTATGGCACAGTTTCCCCCATAGTCTGTGAATTCATTTCTTCGCCATCACGATTTCTTTCTAATTGAGTGAGGCCCTACATTCATAAACATAAATCGGAGGAAATCTATTAAACATATTTAAACATATGTCTGGCGTATTCAACAAAACACTTTCTAGCGTGTCTGCCAGCTTCGAATGATATTGGTCCTCCGCCTAAAGGAAACATGCCATGGAACCCATCATGAACGTGCTCCCACTTAACGGTAATGTTATTTTCTTCCAATCGTTTAACGAACAGTATCCCGTCATCCCGGAGCATATCGAACCCCGCGGTGAGGATAAACGCCGGTGGCACAGCATTCAGTAGCTGGTGGTCCTCCGCCATCAACGGCGCAAAGAACGGGTTGGTGACAAGCTTATAAAGTTTATCAGAAATGTCGCCATCGTTCCTCATCTCTGAAGACTCGTGCCAATCCTTTGTAAATAACGTCGGCACTTCGCTGTGGTTGATATGATCCAACATATGTACTTTCTCAGACCGCCGTATTTTGTTGTATGCGCGGCCATCGAGCAATGACTCGGTCGCCGAATCGTTCCCGAGAGCGTACATCGAATAAAATAGGGCTACATTGTCCCTGCCGTTGACGAACCCAGTCGCCACGTTCTCATGTTGAATGTACGAAGGCAGTGTGAAATCAATGGCCTGTAAGGTGGGATTTAGCATAGCTTGGAATGCTAGCGATTGTAAACTCATGTCCTGTGATAACTTCATTGCGACGGCAGCAGCAAGGTTACCACCGGTGCTATCTCCAGCAACCGCTATCTTCAATGGATTTACGTGAAATAGTTCAGCGTTTCTCATCATGTATCTAGTTGCTCGGCAACAGTCTTTAAACGGGATGGGGAACTTATACTGTGGAGATTGTCGGTAGCTACGAACAAAACCAAAATTGAATACCATTAGATCATGCGAACGCGCTACGCCGACGTATGGGTTAATTAAAATAGACGAGTAAACAGAAAACGGGGATAAAACTCTATTATTCGGCGACGAGACGCTAATAATTTGTAATTACAGTGACAATGTCAACTAGATTAACTAGTTTACCTTCATTTCAAAATTAATTGCTCACAATGCGCAGTTTTCCTGTAATATATTACAACCGTGATAACATGTAAACATTGGACTTGAGCGGTTGTATTAAATGGCGGCGGTCGTCGCGCCTCACATGTGCGCCATTACGTGTTGATAAACATGGATTTTCCCACAATCCGATGCGGTATTTTAACTTAAAAATCACGTGTACGATTTTTGACCTGAGCGCGAATAATTACCACCGGTGACTCCCTCGACACCGTCAAATCACCAAAGAAATTACTTAGTTAAAAATTGATAACGTCTTAGTTAGTACTCGCCATCTTTGTTTATATGAGACCCCATATATTTCGCGCATGCGTGGCGCGACGACCACCGCCCTTTAATGTGACTAATATGACCAAACGTCAACAATTATGGTCCGATTACATCAAAAACATAAAATGAAATAAAAGTATACAAAATACAGAAATATATGGTCAGCCAAGTCCTTCCTTAAATAGGAACTCGAGTTGATTTTAATAACTTTAACAAATCCGTTTCAAAATGTCCAAAAAATGGAATTTATTTTTTAGTTACTTACTCCACCGACACGACAACCATCTTCAGTTTCCGTGCGATGTTTAGCATCGCCTCGTCATACATTTCTGTAGAACAAATAGCAAAACAAGTGGAGAAACGTCAAGAAAAACAATGATTGACTAACACAGATGATCAGAATTGTTTAATTGTTAAAAAATGGTTTTATTGTGTACTGTTGCTTACAAAGTACTGCAACAAAATATACTACAGCGGGACTACTTTTCGGTTCCTATTCATCATATCTAAAATGTTCAATTATACATGGTGAACAAGTCTACACTACAAGTTTAACTGTAGGTGTCCAGACTCAAGGCGTTGAACCCTAAAAACAGCAATAATAGTGTCAACAATGCATCACATATTAACAGTGATCAATATTTAACCTACAAAGTTCATGGTCGGAAAACCGTAACACATATATATTGCTACGCACACACAATACATACCAATGGAATTGGCGATAAATCCACCGCCATGGAAGTAAACAAGTGCTGGAATGTACTCTTCCTTTCTTTTAGCTGGTTCATATACCCGTACCCGAACACTGTCGAAGTTATGGTAGTAAGCTCGCATGTTTTTCGGCACATCTTGGAGGTACAACGCGGTATCTAACATACGAAGTGTGTCTGATTCTGACTGGATTCCGAGCGCGTCCCCTGCTTTGGCCTGCGTTTTTTAAAAAACACAAATATTATAAAAACACAAATAATATAACTAAAGAAAAAAATATCGTTACTTATTAAAGTATAATTATGCAAGAATAATCATAATTTAATCCATAGAAGCAAAATGCGAATTGTATATGTGTTTTATACTAAGGTCATTATTGACAGAAATGTCATAAATTTATTTTTGACTATGATGAGCTTTAAACACTAACTTGTAAACAAGCTTCAGAATTGTTATGGACAATTAAATTTTTATTTATTCATAATGACCGTTGCCCACGTGCCACAGAGGAAATGACGTCATTATGTATAATTTGAAAGATGTTTGAACGAATGGCATGCCTACATTGTTTTGTAGTTAATGTTTAACTTGTAAATGATCTACTACGATTTGTAATGCATACATGGCGTGGAGCTTCATCATTGGACGAACAGAGATCCCACGCTTTTCTGAAAATAATTGAAAGTTCTCAAACAAATCCTATGACGATTACGGCTACATTTGAATCGCAAACAAGATGATAGTATTATATTATACTGCTAAATTGCCGTATTCGTTCGATGAATGTGGTTTGATGAAATGTCTTTCAACTTTCCGATGTTTGAATATTTTGTCAACAACACTACAAGGTTGCAAAAAAAATCAAGTTTACAGGAAATATAAAAGGTATCTGATAAGTAAAGGCGTCAGTTGCAACAAACCACTAACTACAGTTGATTATGACACACATGTGCGTAATGTGCTGGGTCGTTGCACAGTCGTGATGAATACGATGTGGTAATCGTGTAAAACACCCAAGCAATTGTCCATTGGATGTCAAACATATTACATGCGACATAGAGATGAATGGTCATTGTCGATAAAACATAAGCGCAGCTCAAATCCTTAATAATAAACGTCATCCTTACCAAATGTCGCACTGTTCGAAATGCGGCGTCAACAAACATCAATTTTGTGGGCTCTGCTATCCCATACGGCATTGGGGAATATACATAGTATGAAAAGAGTAGAATGAAGGCACTGAGAAACACCACGCCACGGATCATCTTGATTCTAATTCAACTATATTGTAACATGTGTCAGGTAGTAATGGGGCATCAGAGCGAGTTCAAAGTCCAGTTATGATTGCGCCCTCTAGTTTTGTTTTGAGAAATGGGTGCGGCGCCGGACAAGTTGAGTCGTAACTGCAAATCGTCAACAATAATGCTATAACCCAGTCTATAACATCCCATCCCATAATTCCGTGTCCGATACGATTGGGAAATTTAGTGGAATTATTAAACATGAACTTTAAAGGGCGGCATACAACGCGTGTCCGTTCATTCCTCTTTCAACGAACAAGTGGGGCAATACCCTAGAACAATATACCGCTTCGAATTGCCCAAGACAAACGGATCGATAACAGCAACACAATTCTCCATATATTGTGTTGAATTGTGGGTTGAAAGGAGATTGTTGTCGCGCATGCGCTTTCCCAGTGGTAAGCTGGAGTGCGAGTTTTGGTCTGATGGCGATGTGTACTAATTACCGACTAGACTCCATAGCTTAGATACCTTAGGTGGATTTCAATTAACCCAGGAACTACTAAGTTAAATTTTGGTAGTTACTCTCTTTTTTTTTGGTACGCGTTGATAGAGCCAAAAATGAAAGTTGCCATCTTTTGTTAATATTAGACCCACATCTTTTGTGGCGCAACGACCTTTGAAATTTATCTTCTGCTCGTGTTTGTTCAGTAGACGAGTTTCAAGTACATAGCGCAACCAGTCGGATATGTGTGACAATGGGGGCATGCGCGCTCGAAGGTCTGTTTTCATGCCCGTAGACCCCCCCAAAAAAAACTCACGCCCTTGGCGCTCGTTGATCCCTCAGAGAGTACACAGAACCCCAGGCAAAATCCAGGCGCTCGTTGGTCCCTCGAAGAATATAACGACCCCCCCCCCCACCAAGCAAAATCCTGGCTACGGGTATAGGGGTGTTTTCTTGCTCGTGCAATGTATTCACTGGTTTCCCTGGTTCCCGGCGTTCTTATGAGCTATCGAACAGACAGAATTGTAATGTTTTTACACCAGAGTGCGCAAGTTTCTATGGTAACGACGGAACCCGAAACTTGTCCATCAATTGTGCATTAAAACATATCTTGCGACACATCATCAATAGGGCTACAGATATATAATCATAGAACTTCACAATATAAGTAACTCTTGACAAAAAACAAGCATCAACGATCGTTATTTATATAAAACTACTCTTTAAATTCATGTTGAATATTATGAAAACGAAGTCTTAAATTTTACCAGAAAAATCACGTGACCACTCGCTCACGATAAGTGTTCTTATTACATTTTTTGTAAAATACAGTGGATTTAATTTCAATTATTTTATATGTCATGGGCATTTCAATAAGCCTATTGCCAACTTTTGAATATTGGCGAATGAGAAACACTCTACATTCATAAACTTTGGCATTAGTTAAGTTGATGCTGTCGGAATCTGAGAGCGATTGCAGGGCTAGGTCCTCGACTGTGTCTTACTTCACAATACTGGCACAGTTATTAAATTAAACTTCTTTTGAATGTATTCTCGCACTTTCTCGCGACACTCTTTCCCCGCATCGTAGTGTCCAAAATTAATCATTCCGTGGAAGCCGGACTCAATGTGGTCCAGAGTGACGTCAACACCTGCATTTTCAAGTCTCTTCGCATACAGGATTCCTTCGTCTCTGAGTACATCGAACTCTGCAGTGACCATATAGGTGTCGCTGAGTCCACGTAAATCTTTACGCATGAGGGGCGAGAAAGATGGGTTGGTGAAAACTCGGAAAACTTTCTGTGGGATTGTTATTTTCTCGCTAACCGATGCGTTGACCCTGTTCTCCCGTTGCTTGTATTTATCGGGTACGTTGGAATCGTCAACAAAATTCGCCAAGAATGCCTTGTCTGATTGTTTAACTTTCTCCAGCAACTGACCCCTTAGTATGGCATCGTGTATCTCAGGGTCGATCACCCCGAAAGCGTAGGTGAGGCGAAAATTGATAGTTGTGTTTCGATCATTAAATGTCGGGAGAATACGATCGTTTTGTAGATGCGATGGCAAGTCGAACGTCAACGATTGTAACGCAGGGTAAATTAATGCTTGGAATTTTAGCGCAGGGATTTCTTCCTCTCCGTTTACGCTTGCCAAGTGTAACTTTTGCGCAACGGCAGCAGCTAAGTTCCCTCCAGCACTGTCGCCCATCACCGCCACATTATCGATATCAACGTAGTAATCGTCTGCATTCTGTAACACGCGTTTAGTAACGGCCAAACAGTCGCGGTATGCGGCTGGGTACGTATACTCGGGAGCTAAACGATATCTAAGAAACAAACAAACAAACGAAAGCAATTGAAAAATATATATATCAGTAATTTTAATGGAAATGAAGTACATTTTTCTTAGTAAGATTGACGCCTGTTGTTGAGTATGATGGACTCCCCATGGGTATAGAAGTTTAAAATTAAAATTGTTATCCATCGAAACCATCAAACGTGGTCTTATAAACAACCATTTAATTCATAGTGGAGTGAGCGGAGTAGGGGAGTGTGTTTGTTTTTAATAATGTTGACAAGTGTGATCACCCACATTGCCGTTCAGCATTCCATATAAACAAAAGCTGCAGCCAATGTCAGATTTGACCACCCGTTCGAATTTGATTAAAGCAAAAGAATCTGCATCTACGTATATAAATACACACGGACAGAAAACATGTTCTTGGAGCACAAAATGCGACAATTGCCTCACTCCCTGTGCTGATTTGGATGGTTAAACCAACAGGCATATAATTACTAACTTTCTAGTAGGATCTTTATTTGCTCCGGGTAATCCACAGTAGAACGAGATGAATCAACGCCATCTTTATTTTAATATTATTTTATTATTATTTCAATATTTATATAATGTAACCATTATCTTATAGGGGCCACAGTTCATAACATGAAGTAAGTTAACACCAATAATTTTAAAAATACCAAATGCATTTGACAGGGTGCTATAAAAAACCACAACAATTAAAACAGCTTGCTGCATTATACGTATCACTTCCCTGTCAAATTAGTGGTTCATGCTTATTTGAATCTGAACAGGCCAATTCTATCACACCTTGCTAGGCTCAAACTTCCATCCAATCAGAGCATTCCACACACATGATAGAGGACGCTATAGCCAAACATTTTCTGTTATTAATATTATTCAAAGTAATACAATCATGATATAATGAAATACTGACGACTTTTCTTACCCAACAGAGATAATCTTGATGTCAAATGATGTCATAATGCTTCGTACTGTCTCGTCATAAGAATCTTAGAAAGGAAAAAAAATGATCATGAACATAATTAATAAACTTGTATAAAACTATCAGAAAAACAGTCAACACCCAAATCGACTATTCGATAAGCCGCACTAGTTTATGTTTTAGACGGGTGCACAGTGTCTGACAAGAACCGGTTGTTCGCACCAAAACGTAAAATATTGGATGTGCTCGCTCAGTGCTGTTGTCTTAAGTAATTTTAACCCATGATCAAGTGGCGGTTATCGCACATAATGGCTGCGTGCTCGTAGTTATATAACCGAGGAAATGGCGGATGTTAAATCTGATATTTGTGCCAAATATGAAAATTGTGTGAATTTTTACATAATTGACAATGTCACTCTTTTACAGTAAGTAGACATTCCTATCCAGGAGCTTGTTCCACGAATCATGCTAAAACTGGATTTTTAAATCCGCTATTTCTTTTAGATTTTGAGCAGTCGCTGTAGGGTAGAACCCGGAAAGAATCGCACCAAGCATAGTTAGGCTGTATCAGTGATTTGTGATTTGTTTTGGAGTGCCTGGCACCAGTACCAAAAAAAGCCTTAAGATGCACAGGATACGTAACCAGGTATAAGATAAAGCCTGACTACGAGGACTCATCGAAATATAAAGCCCTGCCCGAGATAAATTGTCGAGGTATTTTAAGTCCCAGGCTGTTAACAAAAAAGCTGCTCTCTAATTGGCTAGACTGTTAGGGTTGGGTAGCCAATCAGGCAAATTCTTGCAAGTAGCTTTGCATTGCCTCTAAGCATGTTAACAAAAGACGTTACAGTGCGACGGCCTATAGTGACGAGAATTGTTTAATGTGCCAAGAAATCATTGTTTTTCTTGCATACTTTTGGCGCCAGTGATATAATTAATAATATTGACTATTAGCGGTGTCAGTGTAACATATTACCTTTGTTCAACTACTTCATGAAAAGCTCCGTTTTCAGCCTCGTACGTAGCTAATCGTATTATAATAACACTCTCGGATCCATAAATTCAGTAAGGGGGCGCGCGCTCCTATTGACGTGGCCAAAGGGCTGGACTTGTCAATTGATTGTCAATTTTTGGCGGGTTGAAGGGGGCGCCTCTCCCTAAATCCACGCGTGAATAACTGAGATTTAGTAAATCCTCCATATATCATCTACCTAATAATTACACAACTTCGAACGAGGCTACAAATTGCCGACGTAATCGGACAAATATCACGCGCATTTATTTGCCGTGTAGTTTATTTGAAAAGAGAAGAACATTCCTTACCTAAACCCCCTAACATGAAACCTCCGCCGTGGAAGTAAATAATCGTCGGCAAAGTGTCCCCGACTCTTGCAATCGGTTGATACACACGAATTGGTACTTCACTGATTTCAGTATCACGTGACACAATCCCATCATTGTCATTTTTTCTGGAGGATGCAAAGTCAACCAAGGCGCGAAGTACTTCATGTTCCTCTCTGATCCCAAGGTACGATGCCAGTGATGCCTGTAATGAAGTTTTTTTTTAAATAGATCAATTTTACGTGATTGCATGCCTGGTCGTATTTGTATAACAAATATTATACAATTATACTCCTTCGTATCCGTTCATTCTTCTCAATGGACACAGATTTTTTTTTAAAGCGGTTGTGGCTTACACACTTTTTTACAAACATCTCAACTAGTGTTATCCTATAGTCCACCCTGTGTTAGTTTTGCGAGCGTGCACGCGTGGCGCTGTGACTGTTTGGCAAGAACCGGTTATTTGTACCCCAAAATGTCGTTGTTCGGTGATAATGTAATCAAATATTCATGTACATGCCCCTGTTATAGGGCAATGGTCGGCGCGCTACGCATGCGCGGGATATGGGTCTCATATAGACAAAGATGGCGGCTTTGACTATTGCGCAGACCAACGAGTAATAACTGAGACGTTACCGAGCTTTAATTAGGTAATTTTTTAGGTGATTAGAGTATATCGAACTTGGAGTCAGCGGCGGTAATTAGTGCAAGTCCCCAAGTCAAAACTCATACTTGTGATTTCTATTGGAAGAACGTATTGGATTGTGAGAAAATCAATGTTTATCAACACAAATGTCGCACATGCTCAGTGCGAGGATCACACCCTTCAATAAAACAACTTATGGGCAATGTTGTTACTGCAGATCGCGATCCTATGTTGATCAGTGAGCGACATTTGTTTTCTGACATTCTATTGCTGGTTTGTAAAAATGTAAACAAATGATGTCACAGTGTGACGCCCGGGGGGGGGGGTCTTCAAATAAAATATGGTACGCAAGCTGAAGGTGTTATTAAGTTATTTGACGCGTATATGCGTGTACCGGATGTAGTAATAATGTGTGAAAAAAAGAATCTCATGAATTCATGTTACCTCAACTTGGTAACAATATAATTTTAGTATGTAAGTAGGGTATCTGCACTTGAAAAGGAGTATAATTTTTACAAAAATAAGTATGTGTTCAGAGGCTTTTTTGAAAAGCTATACTTCAGAATGGGTACCAGGCCGACTTGGACGGCCTATTCCAAACTAATACCCGCACCCCCTGTTACAACGGTTCAGCATGGGTACCAGGCTAACTTGGACGGCCTATTCAAAACTAATACCCGCATCCCCTGTTACAACGGTTCAGCATGGGTGCCAGGCCGACTTGGACGGCCTATTCCAAACTAATACCCGCACCCCCTGTTACAACGGTTCAGCATCGGTACCAGGCCGACTTGGACGGCCTATTCCAAACTAATACCTGCATCCCCTGTTACAACGGTTCAGCATGGGTACCAGGCCGAATTGGACGGCCTATTCCAAACTAATACCCGCATCCCCTGTTACAACGGTTCAGCATGAATACATGACACGACGAGCAAAGAATTGCACCTTTGAACTGCATGTAACTAGTATTTGGGATTTGCGTCGGTGAATGACCTTTTCCAAACATCGACGGAACGCCATTAACTACAGTAATCAGTCGAGGCCTAGAGAATGGGTAAATGATTGACATCAAATAACACTCAAGGATAGATCATTATATTGATTGTTGTTGTTGTTGTTGTTTTTTGTATATAATAATATTCATTTCTTATGACTGGGTCTTTTCTCTTCTCAGAGCCGACAGTATGATAACCAGTACCCGGAAATGTATGGAAATTGGAGATTCAATTCATGATCAAAATCTAAAAGAGGCAATCACTAGTTGCCTGACGATTCGCGCTGACCATATACTAGTACTCACCACGTGTCTTCCAACTCTAGACGAAGCGACTAGCAACGTTAATCGGTATGGATTCGATATTCCCGGCGGCATCGGAATATACGTATACACACATATCCATACCAAAGCAACTTTCCAACTCACGTTAATAATATATCCCATTATTTGAATAAACTTAGAAATAGCAGTAACGGATCTACACGGTGTCACACCTCTCTACCTTTGTACCCATTGACGCTGCAGGTCGGCGTTCTTTCAACACTGGGACAGCGCTTCCTGTGACGACACAACGCCTTTGCACCTTCTGATATGCATCAGGTGGTTCAACACGTGACTGGTCAAACGTAACGTTTTCACACTAATTATAAAGTGAAAAGACGTATAACGGGAACAAACTGTTGTTAATTGATCATTACTTTGTGAACTAAATAAATACTTTCAACTCGCCCGTAGAGTGCGCGTCTTAAGTTGTTATGGGGCGGCGATCGTCGTGCAGCGAACAATGAAACAAACAATATATTTACATGCGTTGTATACGTCGCTATGAGTCCCATATAAAACGCGACATAGCTCGACGAATACCACCCGTTAAGCTTCCATAAAATGTATAAGCTTGTCTTGCCGAGAGACACTACAGTAAAACTAGAAATGATTCAAGGACGGATTGTACGTTGAATGACATCATATAACAATATGTGTTGTATTTAAAGAAAAATCACATTGAATACACCATTAATATAGTAACTGAATTTCCCACATTTCCCGTTCCCTTTGATTCCAGACCCTCCCGACATAGCGGAGCATACCGTAGATGTCATTATTCTAATTGAGTCGAAGTGTTGATACGTTGGAAAACAACTGTCAGCAAATTACACAAGTTGCGTTTTGATTGGTCTGATTGGCGCAACCTGGAAGCAGCTTCACATTGACTTCCATATTGTGACTAACGTGTTGTAATGCGTGCGCCCTCACAGTCAAACTGAGACGAAATCGTATGATGGCGCACTAGTATTCATCTTAAAAAAATACAACAGCATGGAAATCGAAATGTCACAAGCATGTGTTAAAAGTGGTATATATTGTATTATAACGGGGCCACAGGCGTCCATTCAATCGTAAATTTAAATATAGAGGCAATAGAGTATACTGTAAATTCTTTAAACATCGCGGTCAAGTAAAATGCGATTAAAATACGTCTGACTCCTTAGCTTTGTACCTTTTACTGTATTCAGAGTGTTGTAAGTAAAAAAATCAGCAAATGTGAAAAATAGCTACAGAATGTTGCAAACACAAAAAGTAGGCCTGCTCTTGAGTATGAATGACGGGGAAGAAGCAGTGCCCGCATAACCAAGGCCGACCATTATAGTGACCCACACACGATACGATCATTCTGTCGACACAACAAACCCATCACTTTTAATGGTAGTTAAATCCAACCTGCTAACCAACGAGTGCAGTGCGTAATGACGTCATTTGAAAACGTTCCAATGATAAACCATCGACCAACATCATGCTTCTGTTTGAATTGTGAAATTCATAAAAATGAAGGGAATGGGTTTGTTGTGACGATAGTACAATTCAAGTAAAATAAAACTTGTTTTTCTCATGTTTGCTTTCGCTAAAAAAAATAAAACGATAGCGTTTCCAGGGTACACCCAACAACCAAATTTACAGTACACTTACATGAAATTAGAATAACTGCCAATTTCCAACACATTTTTATCCTTGTTCTCGTAAGAAGCTGTGGCCTCACATGGTAGCTCTAAATTTTGACCATTTTGTCGTGCATCCAAAATGGCGTCCAAACCACGTGACTGATTCAAATTATTTTATTTTTATTTATGTTGAAACCGTGCCCCTGCTCTCTGATATCTAACATGACTGGTCGGGTTCTTGACAGATTGCGTAAAAGTAATCATTACGAAAATGTCAGGACTTGAACTTGATGAGTACATTGCTGATAACTTTGAGTGGATCTAAGAACTTGAACTTGATGAGTACATTGCTGATAACTTTGAGTGGATCTAAGAACTTGAACTTGATGAGTACATTGCTGATAACTTTGAGTGGATCTAAGGACTTGAACTTGATGAGTACATTGCTGATAACTTTGAGTGGATCTAAGGACTTGAACTTGATGAGTCCATTGCTGATAACTTTGAGTGTGCGCTATACACTTTGCCTTTGGATCTAAGGACTTTGGATGAGATAGGAAGAATGACTCACTGTAAATATATATTCAAGCTCAAGCTTCCAACTTCAAATAGTATTACACACTCAAAAGCGAGTAGCTAAGGTTCTCCTCATAGATAAATAATGTTGCATTCCAAACACTAAACACATCAACTATTGCTACCTCTCAAACAAGATTTGGTCACGTTACGACCTCGGGTTACTGAAATTGCGTGTTATGATTCAGCGATCCGCGAGATATGTGGTACTGGCCTGTCACATAATTGAATATTGTTATGTAGCATGCCAATGTCAGGTTCGAAACGAATTGGTCACTTCAAACATTTAGCATCAGTCTTTGATTCACTTTACAAGAAATATTATCCTTGTGTTAAATTATAATGTGTTGAACTACAATACAACACATCTCATCTTTAGGATAAACCTAACCTGTCTCGCGACTGTATACTCTCTATTTGTATTAACGCTCAATCATATTAGTAATATCGAGCAAATTTGTAATAAGGATTAAACATATTATTATTATTATTATTTGATGACCATACTACGGTATATGTCTTTGTATTCATAAATTGTTCCCTAACTTTATATGTCTTTGTTTTCATAAATTGTTCCCTAACTTTATATGCCTTTGTTTTCATAAATTGTTCCCTAACTTTATATGCCTTTGTTTTCATAAATTGTTCCCTAACTTTATATGTCGTTGTTTTCATAAATTGTTCCCTAACTTTATATGTCTTTGTTTTCATAAATTGTTCCCTAACTTTATATGTCTTTGTTTTCATAAATTGTTCCCTAACTTTATATGTCTTTGTTTTCATAAATTGTTCCCTAACTTTATATGCCTTTGTTTTCATAAATTGTTCCCTAACTTTATATGTCTTTGTTTTCATAAATTGTTCCCTAACTTTATATGTCTTTGTTTTCATAAATTCTTCCCTAACTTTATATGTCTTTGTTTTCATAAATTCTTCCCTAACTTTATGTCTTTGTTTTCATAAATTGTTCCCTAACTTTATATGTCTTTGTTTTCATAAATTGTTCCCTAACTTTATATGTCTTTGTTTTCATAAATTGTTCCCGAACTTTATATGTCTTTGTTTTAATGATTCGGTCCTGGACTATATATGTCTTTGTTCTCATAAATTGTTCCCCAACTTTATATGCCTTTGTTTCAATAAATTGTTCTGGAACTTTATACTTCTTTGTTCTCATAATTTATTCTAGAACTGTGAACGCATTTGTTCTTATACATTTTTATTGGTCTTTACATGCCCCTCTTCTTATACAGGTGCCACCTGTTACATTAAAGGTCCATTGTTCCATGTTATCAACCTTTCTCTTGTTAGTGGAGATTTTCCAGAAGAAACGAAAGCTGCAATCCAATCTGAAAACAACGCCTCTCGACAATTTCTATAGTTTCTTGAAAAATCAAATATTTCAGGAATATTTCATGCTTAACATTTTTCTTGATCGTCGTATCAAAGCCTTTGATACCATCATATTTTTTTTACAAAATTGCAATTATATTGTGTTTGCGGTACTCTTCTGCACTGATTTAAAAGTAACCTATCAAACCGTATTTAACTTGTTCAAGCTGATGGATATAGTTCTGACACACATCCATTCACCAATGATGTACCCTATGGATCTGTATTGGGACAGTTTCTTTTCCTGATATATATCTTAATTAACGTTCCCTCTTCTTCGCCATTCTTTAATTTCAAACTATTTTCCGATGATTGGAACTCTTTTTTACTCACTCAAGACAATGAGGCTAATCACAGAGGAGAAAGTAATTGCTACATTACTAATATACTCAAAATTAACAATGTAGTATCTTTATATTGCTATCATATCCCACATCTAAGCAATAACTAGATATATCTCGTGGTATACCCGCCTCCGGTGGTGGTTTATTGCTATTATATTATACCAACTTCATTTCTGTAGCATTTTCGACATTCTCGGCCTTTTTACAAAATAAGAAAGAGTCATTTTCGAACGACGTGTAATGAGCATCGGCTGGTCGACACGGTGATCAGATGAAATGAGCCCTGGAACCAGTATTTAATCTTTTATCATACACTCGCGCTCAGTACACAGAAACGCACAGAACATCAAGTTTAGATATCATCACAATCAAAGGAAGTTTATTTCTACGACGCAATAAACTAGCAAATAAATAAACTGAACAAACTCAAAGCTTATTTTACATATGAATAGTTGTGAATAAATTATCATCAGCAGAATATTACCGGCAGCGCGCACTGTGCGCCTATTTTGAAAACATGTGTTGTGGACTTATTATCGTTGTCGAATTTTCTATTTTGTGTTTGTTATGCTGACATTAATTGGTCCACTAAAGGTGCAGTTATGGAACAAAGCAGATGCTGCATGTGTACTTTGATTGTGGGCATTAGAAATAGAAGCGGTGCCAGATCCTGCGGGAGTTGGTCCAGACGTTACTATGCCGGTGTTTTAAGGGGTACGGATAACGTTGTCGGAAACACCCGCTTCGATCGCTACGGTCACTTTTCTATCAGATGATTTGTGTCTATACCCACAACTGCGAGACTGGACATTCCTTGACTCTGATTAATTGTGAGTTTGTTGGTGTACGACCGAACACTAGCGTCGTTTTTATGTGCCGTGAAATACATAATGTGTCTGGGTTCAACTCCTGCCGAATCTAACACACCGCACGCATTTGCCTAGACTGGCGCAGTCGATGCGATTAATTTGTTTTTTGTAGTTTAAATAAAATTAAAAAATTCGCGAAATGGAGGTGTTAGCGCGAAATCACCCCGACTGGTTTATTCTGCAGGAAATTCATTGCTATTAAATTTTCATGAATTGCACGTATTATAATGAGGTGGACGCGGAAATAAGTGCATAATGAGGTCAACATGGTAAATGTCACACTGCAGACCCAACATGGCGGCACGTTGAAATTCGAGTTTTTCGTAGTCGTAGTTTTTGATTCATCAAAATGTGTAAAAAAATAATTCGTACTAGTTGTAGAATAAAAA